AGACTCGACGACTTCCAGCCTCCCGAACAAACCGGTTTCTGAAAAGGCACCATAGACCCTTGGGCAGATTGTACAGAAGACTGAGAAATACAATCTGCCACTGTGTTTTGCTATGTGGCTATGTGGTATGTGGGCTATAAAAAAGCCCTTGATTCCGTCGAAATTTGGGTGGTGCTGCAGTCCCTTCAGCGGTGCCAAGTTAACTTTTGGTATATCGAAGTGCTGAAGTGTTTGTACAGTAGAGCTACGATGGCTATCCGAGTACAGAATCAGAGTACGAAACCTATCCAACTGCAGAGAGGTGTAAGACAGGGTGAGGTTATATCCCCGAAACTCTTCACCGCTGCATTGGAAGACGTTTTCAAGCTGCTGGACTGGAAAGTATGCGGTATTAATATCAATGGCGGGTACATCACTCACCTTCGATTTGCCGACGATATAGTCCTTATGGCAGAATCACTGGAGGACCTAAGCACTATACTCAATGACCTCAATAGTGTTTCCCAACGGATAGGTCTTAAGATGAACCTATGCCAGTAGTAGTTGGGAACACTAAGCTCAAAATTGTTGACAAGTAGTCCAACTTCGACCGAAAGGTCAATCGACGGATTCAACTCGGCTGGGCAGCGTTCGAGAAATTACGGCACATCTTCTCCTCAGGTATACCTCAAAACTTGAAAACGAGAATGTACACAGTGCGTGTTGCCAGGGATGACCTATGGAACTGAGACGTGGTCCTTCGCTGCTAGCCGTATGAGGAAGCTTATGATCGCTCAGAGAGCTATGGAGATGGGTATGCTCGATATTTCTCTGCGTGATAAACTTAGAAATGAGGATATCTTCAGTAGAACCAGAGTAACCGACATAGCCCAACGGATTAGTAAGCTAAAGTGACAACGGGCCGGCCATATAATTCGAAGAACCGACAACCGACGAGGGGAAAAGGTTCTCGAGTGGCAGCCTCGTAGCGATAGGTGAAGTGTAGGGCGACCGCCCACTAAATGGAGTGACGACCTGGTAAGACATATAGGAAGTCGATGGATGCAAGTGAATCAGGACCGTGCTTTGTGGTTTTCTCGGTGGGGGTTAGCAGTGGTCTTGTGAAGATGTAATGAGGGTGATGAAAAAGAAATAAGTGAACTTTAAATTAAATCAAAACAATCTATTACATTACACACGAGATTTACCTACTTTATAAAAAAAATACATATTTTTTTCTTAGGTTTTCATAAAACATCACAGGTAAATCTCTATTCCCCCATTCTTATAGACGAGTTATCCTACACGGGCGGAGAGAGATCAGACACAGGACCTACGGCTTTAGGTGGTTTCAAAGGCAATGGAGTGAAAGACCGCCAATTTCCTGCTACTGAGAATTTTTGACAAAAAATTATTTTGGCCCGAGCCGAGATTCCAGTCCAGGACCTCATGAGGCAATCAACACCCGTATGTTATGGGTTGCATGTATGGCGTCAAGTAAAAGCAAAAATTTTCTCATACATATTTCCATCAGACATCATATTTCCAGTAACTGAACAAATTTCTTAAACGTTCCCTCCGATTTCAGACGGCGTATATATGCTGGGCAAAAGTTGATTCAGATCCAAAAACCAAATTTCGCTTTTCTCTTTCTTGAAAAAGAGCAATTATTACTTTTCTATCGACTTCAAAAAAGGAGACAGTACTCAATTCGACTGTATGTTTTTTATGTGTGTTATCTCATAACTTTTTACTGGGTGAACCGATTTCGATAATTCTAAATTTTTATTTCAAAGCTGGTGCTTCACATGTGGTCCCATATATCTATCATATATCTTATCAAGGTCTGACCAATAGTGTTAGAGTCATTCTTAATAATTTATATCGAAGTCGGTTGTACAAAATTTTTAATTATATTATTCCTTAACATAGAGCACACGGGCCACCGGCGGACCGTGTTGTTCTATTTTCTTTAAACCAATAATTTCATTTTATCGAAGACAAAAATAAAATTAATGGTGATACCATTTTTATACAAGAGAATTTAAAGATTTTTAGACAAGAGAGCTGGAGTCCTACATCCTAGATTCTCACTTGCTTGGCACAACCAAGATTGAGTCATGCGTTCGAGTTGTGCCATTATTATTATTAGAAAACGGTACGATAAATCACAAAGAAAACAAACATATTGGCACCCTGTTAAGTTATGATTGAGGGAGCAATTTGTTCCGGACTTGATTGTGTGTTTTCTATTCTTACATGAAAGAGGCAGGATGTGAAACATCGCAATCCGTCTCCGCTATCAAGTTTCTTTTTTTAACACGTATATTGGTGCAGTAAAAGTAAACTGATTTATCTTTTCTTATTACGTCCAAATTAATATTTTTCTTTTTAACGGCATAAGGATTTGCTTTAAGGGTCTCGCACCTTTGACACTGCTGCCCTTTGCCAGTCTGGGTTTTTACGTCTGGTATAATCGAGATGGTTGCAAAGCCATCTCTCGGAAGCCGTAATTTCAATAAATTTCTCTTGAATTTCTCAGAGTTGCCCCTTACGATACTTATAACACAAAGGATTGATGTATGAAATTAAGTAACTGTCTTATAAAAATATTGCACAAATTTAAAGTTTTAAGTTTTAATTTCAAATAATAGTTTATACAATTAAAAAGTTTTATCTAGTATGGAAAATATAAAAACAACTCGGTAAAGAAGAATGTTTGTTTGATTACTTCTAATTATAACTTACAATGTTATAACAACTGAACAATTCGAAGAAAAGTTTTTTTAAGAAATTAATTTAATTATCTTTAGGAGATTATGTTGCAGGATATAAATATAAAAAGTCAAAACGTGTATATGCTAACGTATTTTTGTAATTCGTATCTGTTTCTTATGTCTTAATTTTTTTTTTTTTTGCAATTCCTTGTTACATGTAGTCTGTAGTCAATACCACAGGATCTATAATAGTACAACATTATAACACGTATTCATAACTTAAGAACTGAACGCAGAAAGCTGTGGGATAGGGTCATAAAACGCAGATCCGATAACTTTGCACTGCTACATTGGTACGGGCACCTGCTCTTAATAGAGAAACCTCCATTATCTCGGTATCCAGATCATCGTTTGTTAGTTAGGAAGATGCATCGGCCAGGTTATTTGGAAAAGAAGTCATTTACCCACCTTACACCTCGTATTGTGTTACATGTTTTACAATTCGTAATTGTAATTTTTATTTATGTAAATTTTAGCTCAAGAAATAAACACTCCTTAAATTACATTGTACGTGCGCTATGAGAGTAAGATACTTCAATCCCTGTCTGTAACATTGAAAGCAATTTTAAGAACTGATTTATCACGTATCATGAAAAAACATGCATTTTACAAAATGAATTAAGGTAGACATACACTATACGGTGTACCTATCAGTTTTGCCTGCACAGTTACATTCTTCGGGTAAGCTTGAGCTGAGTAGAGGACACACACTTAGCAGTTATGCAACATACACGCTCCGGTTTAGATATGATAGATAGATAGACGATTGATAGGGTAAACAGGTTTATCTGTACATTTGATCTATTTTCTGTTGTTCTGTCAGGTATACCCTAGCGTGTATAGCTAGCATAAAACAAGACGAAACGAAGTTTGACCAGCCTCATTTTTACAGTGTGGCGGCCATTCCTATGCTCTAGAACCCTCCTAGAAATCACAGGAGGCCTGTGCCCGATAGTGGGACGTAGAAAGCTATTACATAACATATATGTTCACGCGTGTCACTTATCTACATACTAAAAACTATTAGTTTACTTTACTTTTATAAGACATTTTGAAAATTTAATTCATAACCTGTCTCTAAAATTCTAAATTTAGTACAAGAAGAATCAACTAAAAAATAAATGTGTACCTATTTTTGTTGTTTTTTTTTTCAAGAAAAAAAATAATGTAAGACAGCTTTATTACATTTTTTATTAATACATAATTTGATACTCTTGAAAATTACAACCTGGGAGACAACAATAAAGTTGTAATTTTCATGCGTTCTTATCTACCAAATCCCTAGTCGTCAATTATATTAAAAAATACTAATATAAATATTCAGTTGTATGTTTTAAAGTGTTTTAAAAAAATCCTAAAATAATGAAATGTCTCCACAAGATAATTTAAAAAATATATCGGTTTTTATATTCCTATTTACTCGAATAACATGTAACTCGTAGTGCTAAGCGAATTTTGAAGCTGGCGTGCATATTTGCGTATGTGCGTAGTATTTTAACTATTCTAAAAAAAAGACTATTTTACGTAGGTATCATCTACGTAAAATAGTCTCCGCGAAAAAGATTAATACCAAACAGACAGACACACAATCACCGAGTCAACTCTATGTTAAAGTTGGCAAAAAATTACTTCGCGTACATTCGCTCGATAAATTCGATTATGGAGCGGATGTACGCTAAGTAATTTTTTGCCAACTTTAATATAATGGACTTCCGCAAAGTAACACCTTATTCTATTAATTATCAACTCTATGTGTTCACTTGTGCTAATTTTGGCATAGAACACTAATGACGTTGGTAAACCAAGTCGTTATTATAATAAATTAATTAATTAGATTATAAATCAAATCAGAAAAAAAAAGTCCGATCAGGAAGACACAAATATTGGAAGCTATCAGTAAGATTCTGAGAGGAGGTTAAATGTTATATTAGAAATACGGGTTACAATATGTACTGCATGGATTCTGTTATAATCATATCTTATAGGCATATCTCACGACTTCAGTTGCTCGTGCCAAACGAAATTAGATGGAAAACACAATATCGTAAGTATTTTTTAATTGAAAAATACTTACTTTATAGTCGTTTAGAAAAAAATCTTAATTTAAGAGTGACTGTAACATCAAACAAAACTAATTACGTCAATATTTCGACTTTGAAGAAATCAAGCCGTTTATACTTCCAAGTCTCATTTTACCAGCGAGGGCTGTGTTCCTCCTTTTTTTTTACTTATTAAATTAATACAATGAGCTACATTTTAACAATGGAGAACATCAGTAACGTAAGTTGGCTTCGAATTTAAATCATGTGATAAAAGTTTTAATACACTTAATAATTTATTATTTTTGTTTTCATTTGATAGTTGAGAAGACGATTCCAGCAGCTTCGTTTTTCGGCAAATATTTTGACGAACTGCCGTAACAATAACTTGGTGTTCCTTGTTTGGCATTCACTCAGAAAAACAGGGCTAGTTATGAGTCTCGATAATGGTGGAGTACACTGGATGGCGAACGTTGCTATGGCCAGTTTTCTGGTCACAACTGTAATGCAAATAATAGATTTGTTTCTTTCAATAAACGACCCTGACCGCCTTTTCGAATGCTTCAGTATCCTCTCTTTTTGTGGATTGGGTGTTATCAAGCTGTTGTCACTGCGTTACGATGGCGATCAATGGCGTAACCTTCTAAAGGAAGCATCAAAACTAGAAAAAGAAGAATTAAATAATGAGAACCTATCGCCGCTGGATTATGAATCCGATAATGAGGACGAATATAGCGTTTCTAAATATTACGTTGAACGATACACAAAAGCATTCAATGCAACTTTCAAGCTCTTAACAAGAATTTATTTATTTACAGAGTTTGTATACATTACTTCACCATTTATTGAATATGCGCTTTTTAAATATAAAAACCCAGAAATCGTTTATTATCCGCACATATTGCCATTATGGACGCCATTGGATGACGTTGTATTTGGTTACATATTAACCATTTTGTTGGAGTTGATTTCTGCTGCGTACTGCGTATCTGTACACGTGGCTTTTGATTTATCTGCAGTGGGCCTAATGATGTTTATTCGTGGTCAATTCTGTTTACTTCACGCAAAAAGTGAACGAATTGGAGGCAAAGGTAAAAAATATAACCTGTCAAAAACAAGAGATTTAAGAGCTCATCTAAGAATCAAAAATTGTCATCGATTACACATTGTACTCGTGAGGTAAGTATCTCTATGTTTAACAGAACGTAACATTCCGCTGTTGGACTCCTCAAGTCCTTTCTTCCACTCTCTTCCTACCGAATGGTGGCGGCGTCAGTAACGTACGAAATGGGGCTATAAGACGTGTAACTAAAGAGACGATTATGGCTAAGAGAAAAAAGGCATTGTGGCATCCAGATGGTAGTATACCTACAATATGACAGATGTAAGCCCAAAGCCAGCGACAAAGTTGCAATACGTACTGCAAACGCCAGTCCTAGTGAACGTAGCGATCTCGACAAATTATTTATAAAACAGGAGAGACACATGGCCAGCAACAACGCGAAATTCACTGCTGGATAGGCCAACAATGAACTTTAATAACTAATGAAGAAGAAAATTATTGATTCCAGAGAATCTTTCATCACTTTTATTTTATCTGTTTTGATTTTTTTTATATGTAGGTTTCTTTTTTATAATGTCTAATTGACAGAACAGGTTGGACACTGCTTGTAAGTTTTGAGTAAACGAACTGACAGAATATTGTAGAATCTACTAGTTAGTCTATGCAGAATATCATCGCTGTGGTAATCCCATTGCAACGTATTAGCGTTTGTTTTTACATTAATTATGTTTTAAAATATAATTGTAATGCAAATATTTTGTAGCATCAAATAAAATTGTTTCTTTCTTTCTTAATAATTACGAAACATCGTTTTTGAATTCGAAGCCACGTAGTTATGTACTCTCGTAAGTTATGGTCACGTTTGAAATCGGCATCATACAAATAATATTATATCATCTAAAAAAGCCTAATTTTTCAGTCTGGTGAAGCAATTGAACAAACTTACGAAGAATATATTAGGAATTTACTTTTACCTTGCTACGATAACGCTGTGCTTAGTTGCGGTACAGCTTCAATCGGTGAGTTTAATTTGCACTTTTATAAATATTTGAAGGGAATAATGAAAGTGGACGAAGCAAAACAAGTATGTAAGGATCGTAGCAAGTGGAAAGAACTGGTCTCTGCCTACCCCTACGGGAAAGAGGCGTGATTATATGTATGTATGTATGTATAAATATTTGGTAAAGAACCGTACCATATCGAGCAGTGAACTGAGAGGCGGATGATGAAAAAACTTCACCACATATGGTTAAGATAATACGCACTTTAAACGAAGAATAATTCAACTTTTTCGAATTAAAAAATCGATATAAATGATTATTTTACAAGCTTTTTTTGAAGTGAAAACTTCTTGAGAATCGCTGTGATATAAAACTCGATGAAACGAAAAAGCAACACTAAGAAGAGACATACATACAATATACATCTATAGGATTTAGCCTGCGAGAGAATGAGACAGAATACAGTATACAGTGTTTTCTATTATCTCGATCTCCTCTTCTGAAGGTTTCACCTCTACCGCGTGAACACGTGTGCGTAATTTTTTTTTGTTAAATAAAAAAAGGAGTTGGCAATGGGGAGCCCCAGCCCAGAGATGGGAACAGTATTCCATGTGAGGCCGAACCTGCGCCTTGTAAATTTGCAGGCGTTGTGCCGGCATGAAATACTGTCCCGCTCTGCAGAGCACGCCAAGCTTTTTAGAGCGATACTGGCTGAGGAAACAAGGGGAGTGCCTTGAAACTGAAGAGATACGACAAAGGGGTTCTTTTTAGCGGTAAACGCGCAAACTTGTGTCTTCTGAGGATTAAACTGGAATAGATTTAGTTGCCCCCAACCCGAGACTTTATTCAGCAAAGACTCAATTACAGACACAAGTTTGTTCCGGTACTCGACGACGTTTTCCCGAGAAATATTGGCACGGCGGGTGTATAGAACATCACCAGTGGAGTCATCCGCATAGCAATGAATGTTACCGGTTTGATGATATGTTGCATATCATTGATATGCAGAACCAACAGCGTTGGTGATAGCACGTAGCCTTGTGGAACACCAGCGTTAATAGGCTTGAAGTCAGAACATGTACCGTCTACAACGACCTTGATGCTCCGATCTGCAAGAAAGCTGGTTATACAATTGCATAATTTCTCGGGAAGCCCATAGGAAGGGAGCTTCGAAAGAAGCGCTTTGTGCCAAACCCGATCGAAGGCCTTCGCAATGTCCAGACTAACGTCCAATGCCCCCCCCCCCTTGGACTCTAATGCCTCCGCCCATCTATGAGTCAGGTAGACCAGAAGCTGATCGACCCCGACGAAAACTGTATTGGCGGTCACTAATCAGCTGGTGGTCCTCAAGGTACCGCATGAGCTGGCAGTTCATAATGGATTCCATTATTTTGGAGGACAAGGAGGTGATGGCGATAGCCATGTAGTTGGACGGGTCTGAGCAGTCACCTTTTTTAAGTATCGGGTGGACAAAAGCTGTCTTCCATGATTTCGGAACTACGCCTAGGGAGTAGGAGTACCGGAAAAGACGCGTTAGAACCGGTGCCAACTCCGGAGCACACGTCCTCTGCACAATTGGGGGGATCCCGTCAGGCCCACTCGACTTGTGGATGTCCAGGGAGAGGAGTGATTTGCGAACCGAGCACTGTGAGAACCGCACCTCCGGCATGGAGCACTCATACCGCGGGATGGCGGTGTTTTCCCCCGTCATCAGGAGTCAAGTTGGACGCAAACAGGGAGCCTAAATGGTCGGCTTTCTCTTTTGCGGCGTGGGCCAGTGAGTCGTCCTCTCTGTGCAGAGATGGTACTGATTGCTTACAGAAATTCCCTTGGACAGCCTTAGCAAGAGCCCAGAATGCACGGGTTCCCGAAGGATGGCGAACTAGTTTCTCGCCAATTCTGCCTATGTGCTCTGACTTTGATTTGGCAATAACTCTTTTGAAGGACCTAGAGGCGAAGTCATACTTCTTTTTAAGTATGCTGGTGTTTACATCCCGAGCCGCCGAAGCCTCAGCCCAGGCCCGATAACACTCCTGCTTACTGCGTAATGCAGTCTTACAGGAGCGACCAAACCAAGGCTGAGATCTGCCTCCGATGGGTACCACAGATGAGGGACTAAATAGTTCTATTCCCTGTAGCACCACATCAGTGACAGAATCAGCAACGGCGCTGGGATCATCCGGCGAGAAGCAAACCCGCCGCCATAGGTAGGATGCAAAAGAAGACCGCATGCCTTCGCAATCCACCGACCTGTAGAGCGCAACCGTGAGGGAGCGTGAGTGGCACCACACTTCGGATCAGACAATGGTCCGAAGAGCCGAGAGGGGCATCGACGGAAACCTGATATCCGTCCGCGTCCGGATGAGAGGTCAGCAGAGGATCCCACAGGGAAGGTATATGATCCTCCACATCTGGAATCCGTGTAGGCGAAGTAACTAGTAGTGTCAGACCATATGCCAAGGCAAAGTCATAAATAGATCTCCCCGCATGATCGGTTAAACGTGAACCGAGCCATTCGGCGTGGTGGACGTTAAAATCGCCAAGGATCACGATCTTTTCGGATGGGACCTGTTGTAGCAAGGAATCTGTAGCCATTTGGACGTGGTCGATGAGTCGGTATGTTTCGGCACCTATAGAGACCGCTATGGGACCTATAGAGGCACCCGTAGACGCGCGGATGGTCGTCGCTGTCTACGCGTAGCCAAAGGATGGACAGGTCCGAACCTTCAAGACTGCCGAGGCGCCGAGAACAGATGTCCTATCTGACGTATACGCAAACTCCAGCCCGAGGCACAAAGCAGTACTGCAATTTGTACCCCGGGTAGGAGAGATACGAAGTATCAGCCGAAGAGGACACCTGCATCTCGGTCAGAAAGAGCAAGGCCAGCTTCGCCGTCTCGAGATGGTAGTGGATGGCGTTTTTTAGGTTCGAGTGAAGTTCCCTGATGTTGCAGAAATTCAATAATAGCGTGGCAGGGGTCGCCTTGGTCTTGTTGCTCAGTTAGCCCCAAGCAGTTATTGTTTTGAACGGAATTTTGAACAGAATACGCGGGGCAGCCTGAGCACCCACGATCAGGATTGGAATAACATGATCGTGGATGCTCAGCGAGGGATTCTCCAGGGGTACTGGTACCCTCCTGGGGTAGTCTTTGAATTAATTCCGCTACCATGATGATGTTGATGGGGAGCGGGGGGGGGGGGGGGCGATTGGGCCTCCGGCCATCTGCACTCACCAGACGAAACGCAGAAGCAGAGCTTCCACTTCACGCCGGTATTCTATGAGGTTGTGGTACCAACCCGGCTCGAGCCGGCCCATACGTGCAAAAGCTGCCGCGTGGCTCTACCACCGTTACGAGTAAAACTTACCTTAACGAAAATTTAACATAAATAGCTAACATTTTTCCATCTGCTTTTAATCTGACAGGTAAACTTGATTATTATGATTTTTCGGTTTACCGCACCTTTGTTCAAACTATATCAAGTTGGCACCTTAAGTAATAAAATACTATATTATATGATATTATATTGTTTTTAGGATTTAAGCACTACGCAACTCATGTCCCTCCTTCAGTACATGATGGCAACACTTACACAGCTATTTCTATTCTGCAACTACGGTGACGCTGTTTTAAATGAGGTACCTAAGTTGATATTTTATTATATATTATAATTTTAAACGTTTATGTTTTTTTTTTCAAAATTAAGGGTGACATATGAGCACATTAAAGCCTTAACAGTGGTTGAAATGCCTAAATCTTGGATATTTAAGTAAAAAAATCTCAATAACTGTTCATTTAATCCACAAAGAAAAAATACAGTGTAACAGAAGAGAGAACAGATTTGGTAAATGTTTTTAATTGAACAAAATTGTATTTTTGTCAACCCCTTATTAGAAAAAAAAATCCCCAAAGAGTACCTATCTTTATCATATTTTGCAACATTTTTTAAAACGGCACAAGCTTTTTAAATAGTTCTTACACTAAAAAAAAGGTCTTCAAATATTAATATTTTTAATTGAGAGTTTTATTTTTATTCCCCGTTTTATAAGAGAATATATAATTTTTCCCTGAAATTGAATATATTTACGCGAGCGCGCATGCTCCGTCGCCCTGTCGCAGTTCGTTTTCGGATGGTTTTCAGACATCGTCGAGGGTGGACTGCGCGTCGGTGTTGGAGCGACTTCGTTCAAATATATATTAATTTTTTAAAAGTTTATACTCAATTATAAATATTTTTATGACTAGAAATACTTAATTTAGTTAATATCTGTATATTGGTAACTGTAAATATTATTTTCTAAATAAATTAATTTTTAAAGTCCCCAAAGAAGAAGAAATTTTCGCGGCGACGTTGATTAGTGAAATTGAAAAATGCATTTTTATATAATTTAGATGTGGAACGACAAACATGCTCTCGTTACTTAGATTTCGATAGTTTTTAATACCTATGTAATGTTATTGTTGCATATTTATTAATTAGTTGATACTGAATTTTATAATTATGTATTACAATAAAACGCTGTTTTTATGAGTATGACTTTATAAAATATTATTGGGGAGGGAAATATAGATACTGATACTTACATTTAGGTACACTGTTATCAAATTAAATTAAACAATTTAAATAAATGAAAAAAATAGTGCTTCCCTAAGTATAAATAACTATATAAAGACATACTTGGGTTTATGGTTTTTCTTTATGTTAGACAAACTATCATCTAAAAAATTTAAAAATTTTAAATTGGAGAGGGGTTCCTCTACGTGATAAAGTTAGAAATGTAGATATTCACAGTAGAAAGACAGTAACTGACATAGCCCAACGGAATATTACAGTGAAATGGCAATGGGCTGGCTATATAACTTGGAAAACAGATAAACAATAGGAAGAATAGTTTTCGAGTGGCAACCTCGTACAGGTAAGCGAAGTAGTACTCAACCTTTATTCCTCTTCACGTATTCTTATACGCTTTTCTTCACACACACGCACACACACACACACACGCACACACACACACACGCACACGCAGACGAGCACACGCGCACGCGCACGCGCACTCGCACGCGCACGCGCACGCGCACACGCACACGCACACGCACGCGCACACGGACACGCACACGCACACGCACACGCACACGCACACGCACACGCACACGCATACGCACACGCACACGCACACGCACACGCACACGCACACGCACACGCACACGCACACGCACACTCACACGCACGCGCACACACACACACACACACACACACACACACACACACACACACACACACACACACACACACACACACACACACACAGGAATAGGTCGCAAATAATTCTTACCTAGTACTAGAGTGAATAGGTTTTTGTTAAGCCAGTGCAATTCACCATCTTAGGCTACGTAACCACTTACCGATGGGATTGTAGTTGTTTTACTACATGCTGGGTAAAAATAGTAAAAAAAAAATTAACCTGTGAAAGTTATTTTATCATTTAGATATAATTTTTCTAACCAACCATAAAAATATGATGAGAATATGTATATAAGTATAAAGGTTACCTCACACGGGACAGTAATAATATAATATTATATCTTCCAATATCTACGCATGAAAACTTTTAAAATCTCTGAATCCCGAGGTATGTTCATATTAAGAGGCTGAATAGAGCCACATTGATATGCGTGGGGATCGTTTTGTAATTTCACGTCGTTATCGAAAATAATTGTACGTATGTCAGGTGGCGGCAATAATCGAAAATATTTATTTTTACTTTCATGCCGTAGACTACCTTGTTTAATTTTATTACCGTCAAATAATATTTATTAAGTTATAAAGCAAGTATTTACAAATTTTTTCATTATTTTGTTATTCTATTGTTTACAGTTATCATCACGTCTTAGCTTTATACCAAGAATTACATTAGAAATTCTTGATGGGATGCGATGTAATTTATTTTCACCAAGAACTATAATATATATATATATATATTATTTACCAGTAGAGTTTCAACACAATCTTAAAAAAGTTCAATGAATTAAAAAATGCCGATAATTATATAATTTCAAGTCAGTGTTTTACATTTAAAGATCAGTTATAAAGAGCCAAAGTTCTTATTTTCATTTTGATTACTTTAATTCGAGACTAAAATAAATGTGAAAGGGCTTTTATCTGCAATAATAATTTTCATCAAAGTAACATAGACTTATAAAAGTCATATACACGGTCAATCATACTGAAGATTATCAATTGTACTACAAAATATTTAAAAGACTATTTCGAGTATAATGACCCGAATATCATCATTAATGTTTGACTGGCACACTTAAAAGTTTTATCACATGGCTAAATGATTGACTATTATATTATGATAAGGTCATGCTTTTCTATAAAAAGTTGCAAGAAATTTTAAATCACGGACCTATTGGTTTGTTTTACTTTTCACTTAATTAGTGAAAAACAAGATGAACTGATCTAAAAGTTTACTTTCTTGTGTAAAAGTGCTATTTAGAATTTTATGCAAATGATAATTAAAGTTTCTATGTAAATAAGTGTAACATAGCGGGTATTATATTAAATGGTAGCGGCCATCCATATTTGCAAAGCCAGCATCATTTTCTGTACAGAAACCGGCAAAGTGTTGCTCAAGACACAAACAAAAACGGTTTCTGCAAATGATCTTATAGATAATAATAACTATTCCGCCGTGATAGGTGCAGGAGCTATTATTAGAAGGAGAAGAGGTAAAATTTTGTTTTAGAAATGCGCAATCAATATTGTTTTGTCTGCAATTGAGCATAAAATAAAAAATAACTTCAGCCAAAGAGCATAACTGGCATTATACTCAGGCCCATCAATTAGTATGGAAAAAAATAATAATACCAGGTTTCAAAAAATCTATTAAAATTAAAAAAAAACATTAATATTAAAATCAAAAAATGTATATATGTATGTCTATACATACATATAATGATTTATGGCCGCTCAGTAACTGACGGTAACTCAGTATAACATCCTACAGTCACGCCGAAACTAAGAGGAGAGAATCACTGTAGAAAAGGTAATAATTTATTGCGGAAATTTTGTGATAAAATTAAAAAATTACAAACTTATCCAAGTTAATCTAACTTAGTGTAACTTATCCTTATGCGTTACAAAAAAAAACAAATAATAAAATAGTGAGATGGCGTTAGTTTTTAAGAAGATATAACAAAAATAAACAAAAAAATTAATTTCAAAAAAGTTCAGTATTTAATTGATTATATACTGCTGACATTTAATCACGCTTTTCGAAACCACGCAAGTTGTAAACAATACTTGTGAGAAAAGACAAAATCTTCTTTTCAAATTTCCGCCGAGTTGTAAGTAGAAGGCCAAATAGGTCATGTGTCAATTTTAATTAAATATGTTATATATGAAGTGACATTGACTACGTTTTATCAATTAACCATTGGTAAAAATTTAAACAGGAATTTTCCAATTGTGTTTACAAGAAACATTATTAGTTGAACCTTGCAGCTTGTTAATTATTTTTATTATAAATACCTATAATAAAAATAATTAACAAGCTGCAATATATATATATATATATATATATATATATATATATATATATATATATATATATATAAAATATATATTATTAATAAATAATTCCCATAATATTTTGTATTATTTTTTATTTTGCCCTATCTGCAATGTTCTACGCTCTATAGAAAATGTGGCGTAGGACATGACTGATAATCTCTCGAACATTTTATCTAGGTACAAAGATGTTTTAAGTTTTCGTCGCCTCCACATGATATTTTTGTCAGCATAAGGTACCCTTCTGTATCTGAAACGAATATAAATATTGCTACAAAGTAAAGTAAAAGACTATACAAGTCCCTTTACTGGGCACAGGACTCCTTTTTTATTTCTGAGAGGGTTTTAGGGCAAGGAAATGCCCGCCGCACTGCCCCAATGCGTGTTGACGAAAATTGCAATTAAAAATTTCATTCGTGTTGTCGGGGATCAAACCCGGGAAAAATTTACAGCAAACGCTTTGACCCAGATCTATTAATACGATACAAATAAATACGATTTAACATATATAATAAAAAACTCTTACGTACTTGAAACTTGAACACTTGATAGCCCGTGACTCCTACCGGACAAAGCTACAGCACAATGTAATTGAAGATGCATAACCGCGACATAATTTTCAGTGATGCGCAAGCATAACAGGCAGTATGTCACTTATATAATTGTTATCTCTGCAATCTATTAATCTTTGCACTTTTATAAGTAATACCACAGATTTCTTAATAGTTATACAGAACGTAGTTGCTAGACGGTGTTGACGTCGGCTAAAATCTCTGCGATCGCCGTTTCGTCAAGGTCATTCAGGCTAGTTAAAGCCTTAAGACAAATACATGTTTCTTACATAAGTACACTCATTCAATTTAAAATAAGTCACACGGAACAAAATAATAAAAAAGTAGTAAACATAACGTAAAAAAGTGAACATAGGTAGGTAGTTCACTTCAATCAATAAACTTTGAATATTTGAAATATATATCATGGTTTGGAAGATTTGGTAAATTCACGCTCGTCGTAACTTTTCCTGCCAATAATAAAATTACCCAATATTCGAAAATCTTGTTTTCAGAGCACAGTTGGCATGGGTATGAGTCCACAAGGCTCGGCATGGTGGTGTCTCAGTCCTCGAGTCCGAAAGGAATTGCTACTGTTGGGAATAGGAATGTCGCGTCGCTATGAGCTGTACGCTGGGCCTTTTTTCTCGCTTAGTTTGCCTTCTTTTATTCAGGTGCGTTTTTTTTTATTTTATCGCTATGTAATAGTAAAAAGTCCTTCTAGATAAATACGATAATCTTACCTAATATATCTGCCAAGTAGCAGTGACTGCCGGGCTGTGTTTCGGTTTGAAAGTTATAGAGAGTCAGTATAGATTCAGGCTGTAAGGCATTCCACCTTAGTTCTTAAAGGTCACAACGCATCTGTAGCATTATTCATCGTTTTAGGTTGGCTGCAGGTATCAATACACTGCAGTAGCCACTTACGACCAGATGGTCTATGTGTTCAGTTTTATACTTTTTTATTCGTTTTCTTCACATCAGGTTTATAAAAATAAATTTATTAATAAATATATTTATTGCTATTTTAGAATATTTATCTTTAGCATTCAGTTTAAGTGTCATATATTATGAGCTTCAATATGCATTGAATATACAATACAATACGATAACTTTATTTTAGGCATCAAGGACTTAAAAATTAGGAACATTGGCCCATAGCAATATCTACCTTAACCTATTTTTTGTATGTGGTAGAGCCATGCTGCAGCTATCTTAGTTGTATAGTTGTAACACGAATGGGTCGGCTCGACCGGGGAAAGACCACGCTCTCACAGAATACCTGCTTAAAATAGCAGCTTAATGATGCTGTGTTTCATATGGTGAATGTAGAGAACCGGAGAGCCTTTATACTGGAAACGAGGCATTCCATCTCAGTCCTCTCGGGTAACGACGCATCTGCATTTTGATTCGTTATCGAGGATAGATGTAGATGTCTATGAGCCACAGCAACCACTTATTACCATCAGGTGGACTGTGTGCTCGCTTTTTTCCTTTAATCTATAAAAAATATATAAAATATAGACATAACACTATTTAGGGAACTTTCTTCTTTGGGGTAATCCCCTTACCGGCGAATCACTACACACGCAGAGTAGTACTTGCGTTCATACGGTCTCACGCTGTTTACAGACGGGTCTCGACCGACGTCTCCTCTCATCTCTCAACAAGAGTAAAGCAGTCATTATCAATCTTGTTTCGGGTCACCACTGGAACTGATCTTATATCCAAATTCTTTCGTTTTCGACCACAAGAGGGCGCCCGTTGTAAAGATTATCAGGCAACATCCGCAAACGTCTTTCCTTGTTGTGAGGTTGACTTCGGTGGAGGAGTATTCATGGGTTCAGTCAAGGGTTGAGGTGGTGATGAAACGATGACGATATTCAATATTGTAGGTATGTTCGTACATACCTACATTATTGAATAAACCTAATTGTAATCTTTTTTACAAGGAATTACATTTAATGTTTTTAAATGCAGTATTCGATTAACTGCTATGAAAAAAGAGCTTGCAAATAGTACCTGTAATCTTTACTATTCTCGAAAACCTAAAAGCATAACGAACTCGAGTAATTATATCCAAACTTACTTTTTTATTATCAAACCACATATTAAGTACCCTGTCCATAGAGAAATGTGAATCGATGAACATGAACTAACTTTGTTAGCAATGTCGATGTCATGCTACAAACAGGAAGATGAAAGAGTTCAAATTATAATTTACAATTTTGTTTGTCACTCTTATTCTACAAATAAATTTCAATAAAATATTGTTTATAGAATAAGGGTGACAAACGAGCACACAGTCCACCTGATGGTAAGTGGATAGTGTGGCCCAAAGACATCTACATTTATCCTCAATTAAAAATCAAAATGTAGATGCGTTGTCACCCCTGAGGACTGAGATGGAAAGCCTCGTTTCCAGTAAAAAAGAGTCTCCGCTTCTCTAGTCTCTACACTCACCATACGAAACACAGCAGCATTAAGCTGCTATTTTACGTTGGTATTCTGTGAGAGCGTGGTCCTACCCCGGTCGAGCCGACCCATTCGTGCTGCAACCACAATGTAGCTGCAGCATGGCTCTACCACGTAAAATTAATTATTTTACGTAAAAAATTAACAATTAACCTCTCATAATAACAGACAAAGATTGAATCACGTTTAAATCAATCATTGTAGCTGTCTACATTATTCTCACTCTGTTCTATTCTCTTTACAGATCGTCCGCACAGCTTACAGCTTTTACGCAGTACTACGACAAAAATCCAGTTAAAAAGCAATAGTCACAGCAATTCATCCGTAGTTCTCTAATTATATGTATATCATCAATAATTGTCTATTACTTCATTTCAATCAAATATATTATGTAATAAATGTAGTTGCTTAAATAGGAGTTTGTTTTAATATTTTTTCATATTCAATGATTTCTTCTCTTCTTTTTGATCAACCCGTAACATTCCACGGCTGAGCGTGGGCCTCTACCACAGTATGGAGGATTTATCACAAACACCACGCGTAGCACACGGATTGGTGACAGTACTAGCAGTCTCGCCGACTATGAACATTAGCGACAGTGTAATTGTCAGTGCATTGCCGGCCTTTGCAAGGAAAGGAGGTTTTCTTTGAAGGTCCCTCCCTGAGTCGAATCGATATGGAAATAAATTGTATTCCTTATATACATATTATTTACGTATATTAAATTTAGCGCTCTATTATTTTAACAGGTAGTGTTACATACAGTGAAAATATTAATAATGTTTAATAAAATAATTCGGTTACACAAAATATAAAATCGATATAGGTTCTATAGTATATATGTACCTTTGTCTATCAAGGGCTAAAATATATATATAAACCGCCTTTAAATTTTTAATAGTAATAAAACTTATAAAAGGTGAAAATCATTTTATCAACAAACTACGCGTACTAGGCTATTGATATGAAATAGGGAACTAGTTGATGTAATTCTGAAACTAATAAAAGAAAACAAGTCTCGATACGTCGATTTTTTCGGGAATTATCAACATGCGGACGTCCACATAATTCTTTTATAGTTAAATAGGTTTTTTTTTAAAGTAGCAATATAAAATGATATTTTAGAAAATATAAGATCGATTAATGAGAGTGTTATCTTGATATATGGCTACTCATATTATGGTACAAGTGCAATATGGTTACGAGAGGCATTTTAAGAACGCAAAATTGCTTGACCTCGACGTGTCGAGAGTAAAGCACTACCTAATAACGCTTCGCGTTATGAGGCGTGCAAAATCGCTGCCAATAGAAATCCGTCGTTAAGGCCGTGCTACATGGAAAATAAAAAATGTATGGTGCAATCGATTGCCAACTATTAAGATAACGTGGATAAAATTTAATTAATACAATAATTCCTCAATCAGTGATAATACAGTGATCGCGAGGGTGAAAACCGGCAGCGATCACCGAATGGTTAGAGGCACACTGAACCTAAACGTTAAGTTGGAGAGGTCTCGTCTAATGAAGTCAACGCTCCGTCCCCCTCGTGCTCTAATCCAAAGTCCCGAAACCTTTCAGCTCGAGTTACAAAACCGTTTTCAGTGCCTAGAAGACTGCAATGAAGTGGACGATTTGAATGACAAGCTCGTGGAAACTGTCCATGCGGTCGGAGCTAAGTTCTGCAAGACCCGCCGCAGAAGAACACAAAAACTCTCCGATCACACTCTTAATCTCATGGCTGTTAGACGGGAGATGAAGCTACATTCTTCAACAGATTTAACAGCATACAGGCAACTGAACAGACAGATCTCCAAATGCATGCGGCGGGACTTACGCAAATTCAATACAGCTCGTATTGAAGAAGCGATCGAGCGGAACCGAGGCTCCAAAGTCTTTGCCAGAGATCTGTCTGCCAGAAAGCGCCAACTGTCAAAGCTGAAGACAGAATGTGGCAGCATCGTTTCCGGGGCACCTGAGATTTTGAGTGAGATTGAGAGGTTCTATGGGCAGCTGTACACGTCATCGTTGGAGCCGCACGCAAGTGTGAGTAACGATCCAAGAGCGAGTCTTATCCGACATTATTCCGATGATATCCCGGACGTCAGTCTGAGCGAGATTAGAATGGCTCTTCAGCACCTTAAAAACGGCAAGGCCCCAGGCGAGGATGGAATTACAGCGGAGCTTCTGAAAGCGGGTGGAAAACCGGTACTTGAAGTCCTTCAGAAGCTCTTTAATTCCGTCCTCCATGGTGGCATTACACCGGAGGCGTGGAGCAGAAGTGCGGTGGTCTTGTTCTTCAAGAAAGGTGACAACGCTCTCTTGAAGAACTACAGACCGATTTCCCTTCTGAGCCGCGTCTACGTGCTGTTTTCGAGAGTCATTACGAATCGTCTCGCGCGCAGACTTGACGACTTCCAGCCTCCCGAACAAGCCGGTTTCCGAAAAGGCTTTAGCACCATAGACCACATACATACCCTTCGGCAAATTGCACAGAAGTCCGAGGAGTACAATTTGCCACTATGTCTGGCGTATGTGGACTATGAGAAAGCCTTTGATTCCGTCGAAATTTGGGCGGTGCTGCAGTCCCTTCAGCGATGCCAAGTTGACTGTCGGTATATCGAAGTGTTGAAGTGCTTGTACAGTAGGGCTACGATGGCTATCCGAGTACAGAACCAGAGTACGAAACCTATCCAATTGCAGAGAGGTGTAAGACAGGGTGACGTCATATCCCCGAAACTCTTTACCGCTGCATTGGAAGATGTTTTCAAGCTTCTGGACTGGAAAGGATACGGTATCAACATCAATGGCGAGTACATCACTCACCTTCGATTTGCCGACGATATAGTCCTTATGGCAGAATCGCTGGAGGACCTAAGCACTATGCTCAATGACCTCAATAGTGTTTCCCAACGGATAGGTCTTAAGATGAACATGGACAAAACAAAGATCATGTTTAATGTCCATGTCACACCTATGCCGGTAGTTGTTGGGAACACTAAGCTCGAAGTTGTTGACGAGTATGTTTACCTGGGACAAATAGTCCGACTTGGTAAGTCCAACTTCGACCGAGAGGTCAATCGACGGATTCAACTCGGTTGGGCAGCGTTCGGGAAATTACGGCACATCTTCTCGTCAGGTATACCTCAAAACTTGAAAACGAGACTGTACACCCAGTGCGTGTTGCCAGTTATGACATACGGAACTGAGACGTGGTCCTTCACTGCTGGCCGGATGAGGAAGCTCAAGGTCGCTCAGCGAGCTATGGAGAGGGCTATGCTCGGAGTTTCTCTGCGTGATAAACTCAGAAATGAGGATATCCGCAGTAGAACTAGAGTGACCGACATAGCCCAACGGATTAGTAAGCTGAAGTGGCAATGGGCCGGCCATATAGCTCGAAGAACCGACAACCGATGGGGAAGAAAGGTTCTCGAGTGGCAGCCTCGTACCGGCAGGCGAAGTGTAGGGCGTCCCCCCACTAGATGGAGTGACGACCTGGTAAGATATGCAGGAAGTCGATGGATGCAGGTGGCTCAGGACCGTGCTTTGTGGCATTCTTTGGGGGAGGCCTATGTTCAGCAGTGGACTTGTGAAGGGCTGTAATGATGATGATGAATAATTCCTCGGAGCATCTCATATAGTAAATACGACATAAATGTAAAAGGATGCAATGTTCAAGGAAAGATCAAGCCGATCAGAAAATAACTGGGTTTTCGACGATTTAAACTAATCTACTTTTTTAGTGTATACTACATACATACTTATGTAACCTTGCCCAAACGTGAGCCATGGTCGCTCAGAAGCTGAACGCTTGCTGTAAATTTCGCAGTACGCGAGCAACCTGAGTTCGATCTCCGCGGCACCAATGAAATTATTAATGCAGTTTCAAGTGCCGATTTACTGCGAGCTTGGCGATGAAGGAAAAACATCGTGAGCACCTGCAAGACTGAGAAATTTAATAAACAATATTTTCAAGACATGTGAAAACCGACAACACGCATTGGGGTAGCGTAAATCCCTCAAAAATGAGAGAAGGCCCAGGAGTGAGACGTATATAGGCTATAGCTTTACTCATGTAACAGTCTAAATTAGGTGGATACGGTCGGTGAAATGCGTGGCAGAAATACCATATAATTTATATTTCTTCATTTTTAAAATTCAATAGAAGTCCGTAGTATCTGCCTACTCCTCTGGGTGACGGGCGTGAGTGTTTATGTACCTATGTATTACTATATATTTCTGTGCTGCTTTTTTTTCTTCAGCTTTTACACAGAAAACTCAAAGCCTAAATCCAGCACCTCTAAAATCATTAGAGGTGCTGGTATTGGAACTTAGGTTGCGTGCATGCTTTGCCTGAGACGACTTTTGTCAACCACATACGATTAAAAAAATACAACGGATTTTTTTCGAATCATGAAGAAACGCCTAAAAAGTTGAATATTAAGAGGGCAAATCGAATAAGATCTCCGCCGGTATTACTGAAATAGTTAATGGCAATTTTTATTGTCGAGTTAGCATGTGCCGTTGTGGAATAAAACGGAAAAGGGTGTCGTTCTTTTAAATAAAAAATAATAATAAGAAGACATATGATATCTGTCAGCATATCTTAAGGCAGCGGCTTTCTATTTCCTTCTTCAAAAACAAAACTGCTTTAACAAAATGCTTTTACAATAAGTTTTATGGTGTTACATAAATGTTATGTTATTTTACTTTACTTTAGATTGTTTAAATTAATAAATACGCCCCACTACTGAAGACAGGCCTCCCCCAAATAATGATATAAAGTACGGTCCTGAGACACCTGCATCCATCCACTTACCAGGTGGCCTCTCCGTGTAGGGCAGTACCACCCCACATATCTTTTACCGGTACAAGGCTGCCTTTCTTCCTCACAAGCAATTACAATAATTATTTATTTATTTATTTTTTATTTTACTTTTTTATCAAAGTTACTTATTATAGTACGTGAGGGTAATATAGTCATCAGATTAATATGGTCACTTACTTATAACTCAAAAACTACAGCATTGTTTTCATAGATGGTTTTGTGATACGATATAACTTTTCATCAGTCAATCAAATAATAAAGGGTCAAAAGGGCGCTGCTTCATCGACGCTATTTTGACAGTTGACATTATAGTAAATATTTTAGTCGATTTTAGTATTGTGTGGTGCAGTTAGTTTTTTTTTTGATGTTGTTTTTCGAAGTGTTCCTAATTATTGCAAAAGGTTATTTACTATTTTTTTCTTAATATATTAGTTAAGTATACGACTTTGTGTTTTTGTCCCCGTCCTTTTTGG